GGTCCAACCCGAAATCATTTGATTTTTTCAGAAAATGAACTTCTCACTGATGTTGCGATTAACTTCCCAGTCGGAGCTCGAGCCCGAAAGTTGGCTGCTAGGAAAGCTGCACGTATGAACAAAAAGACTGTGCTTAGGAGGAACAGAAATTAATCAGTGGTAATTTTCACGAGTGAAAATAAATCATTCATCTAGCAAAGAGCTATGATAGAATTTCAGCACTTCGCTTGAACCATTTGATTATGAAAAGGCTCTTATTGTTATTTATAAGTTTTACCAGCGAATAAGTGTCTTTTGTAAAATGCCTCTTAATTCCTTACGAACCTCGCTGAAGCAGCTCAGTGTTCATAAAGAAATATTCACATAAAAATGATTTAAGACATACTTCTAAAAGAGCAGACATGCTAACATAAAGTAAATATTGAATGCAATTGAAACAAAATGCATGGTGTGTAGAAAAGATGAAAGAGAAGGTTGCTTATTTTCTTGAACTGCACCCGCGTCTTATAATATTACCAAATAAACTTTCGCACTTAGTATGCGGTGTGTGTTAGATCATCAAAGTCAGTCCACACTCTGCCATCGTCATACGGGAAGAGCATTGAACTCACGGAAATGTTGTACTAGTTTCAACATTTTAGCCTGTTTCTCCCGCTGCACATCTACTGCCTTCTACTACATTCACAATAACAAAATATTCCGTCTAAGTATATTCCGACCGGGCAACGAACACGTCAGCAGGATCGGCTGCCTCTCTCGAGGACGTTTGGGAGTATTCTGCTGGATCCTGATCTGAGATTCGAACTGCGAAGTCCGAGTGCGTCGATTACACTTCAGAAGACGTCGTTCCAGCGCTCTGTGGGTTGTTCGAAGTGCCTTCGACGTAGCCACAGTGTCTCTGCTGCGTAGCAGAGTGCAGGGAGAACAGTTGAATCGAACAGGTGGGCTCGGAGCTTTGGTTCCGTCAGTTGGTCTGTGGCTTCCTTTAGAGGCTCAAAAGCTTTCCAAGCTGCTCTTTGCCTCCTCTTTAGCTCGTTTTTCATATCGTTCGCCATGTTCATCGAGTCCGAAATATGCGTAAGAAGTTGTCTCCGTGAGAGCTGGAGAGGTTCTTACTCCATTCCCTGATCCTCGCAAAAACCGTTTTTTATGAACTGGGTCTTTTCCGGTTATTTCGCAATCATATCCGCTTCCCTACTGTTTGGTTCCTACACCATCGTCTCCGCTTCAGTAATATTCCTGGAGAAGAGAACAATGCCGTGAGCAAAACGAGGTTTGTAAGGA